TTTACATTACATGCATTGGCGTCTTAACGTTGAGGCCACTGGTGCGTTCAGATTCGGTGAACACAGGAGAGCGTTTACAAACGGTTTTCTGTTCTTCGTGAACGTTTAACGCTACTCGCTAACAGTTTCAGGAGGTCTTTCTCCACCAACATACAGGGGAGCTGGACGAAGCGTTACGGCTGAAATGTTTACACGATATCATTCAAATTTAACTGTTCATAGAGAAGTTTGCCACAAATGTTCGCCTCTTTCCCCTCTGCTCCATCAGAGCGCGTCCTCTCTGCAGTGGGGAGTATCTGCTCTCAGAGCAGAGCCAGACTCTCACAGGAGCACGGAGAGACACTGACTTTCCTCCGTTTCAATAAAGACTGATTGTAAAATTTAGCTGCAGCAGAGTGTAGACAGACAGCAGAGCACAGAGCACAGAAGTACTGTTTAAATGTAACATTTACATTTAGATTGATTTTTTATTTGCTTGATTAAAGGAAAACTGATTGTTTTGTTATATTTTATTGCTGCTACTTTGCACATCCTTGTTTATAAATTTTGACAGGAAAAATAAATGAGTTTTATTTTTTTTATCTTTTGTATTAGCAGGACAGCTCATTAAAATAGTGAGTTTTTCAATGTATTCATCTTTACTGTCTTCACTGTTGGTTACCAAATCCATAAAACAACCTCAAGCTAAATTGAAAAGCTAATAATAGTATTTAATTTAAATAAAAATGTAAATTTTCTATTTAATATTTAATTTAATAGCTACGTAAGTTATTTGGTAATGTGGTGATTCATTATCCAAACAATCGATTATTCGTTTCAGTAATCGATCGATTGTTCAACTCTCAAAACTACACTTTAGGCCTGTATTTTAATAGTTGTATTTATTAGTTTCAAACAACAAACAAGAAAAGACATTACTTTGTTAATCTATACGAAATTAATCATCAGCTAAAATTTCATGATCATCATGGCTCTACATATAGAAGATATAGATATATCTCAGTCTGCATTTCATGGATGATAGGAAAGGTTTTCTGTGAGCAGTGGGTACTTGTTCTGCACCTGATGTTGAGAGCTGCAAGGAGATAATGATGCAAGAATAAATCCTGCCTTGTTAGATTCTCTGCTTGGTCCTCTGTCTTTAATAATGTTTTGTAGTTCTGTATTCTGAGTCTAACATACAGTATTTAGTCAGACTTCTGTGTGCATTTATAAAACTGTTGTACAGCTTTTTAAATATCATTTTCTCAGGTGCCTAAAACCTTTTGCACATCACTGTACAAAAGCCTGCAGCTACACAAAAAAGATTAGACACCGCTGGGTTAGAGTGTATTTCTCCTCACTTTACCTGCATTGAATCATCCATATTGCATGCACAGTACATCTGATTCCTTGGTGGCTGTTATTTCTTAGTCATACATTGACCAACTGTTTTCCTACACATAAAAACAGTTTAGTCATGCAATTATTTTGTATTCTTTTAACAATACCATGATCTCAGTGTTCCCATATATGCTGGCTAAGTGTTCTCTTTCGTTGCCTTTACATGACTGCTTGCTACACAATTGCTTGGCTAAAACTTCTGTTCACAGTCGAAGGTTCAAAAAACTTTAGCTGACAATTAACTTTCATAAATAATTGAGAATGATGTCTGAGGCCTACAGTTGCCAAGACTCAGAATGCTGCTGCCAGAATATCAACCACAGTCATTTAACTCCAATACTCTAATACCCAGATCCTCATACTGGCACCTGGTTAGCTACAAAATAGTTTCCAAAATACGACTTGCCTTTAAATCACTAAATAAACTAGGACTTCTATCCACTGCTGATATGCTGGAAATATATACTAGACATCTCAAATCCCTGGAGTCTCAGAGTGAGTAGATCTGAACATGTTAAGGCAGCATTAACAGTTAATTTTTCAGGTTTAATTTATTTTCTTTTGGAAAATACTGTAGATAGGAATTTCACAGTACAATGTTGTTTGTGAAGTGACTAATCCACACAGAGAAAAATGCTTAAATACACACAAGACCAGTGTTTTCTCTGCTTGCTTGGTCAAAGGCTGTGAAGGAGCGAGAAACTAAACGAACGCGTTCGAGGTCTCGGGCACTAAATTCTAACCCAGACAGCACAAATACGTCGTTGCTACGTCGCTGCTCCGTATTTAGAATGGTCGGCATTATGTAGCATTTAGGGCTTTTGCTCATTGGCACTATGTAGCTCCGATGAATAAGCGCCCTCTAAAGGATGTTCATCCGATGTTTCTCCGACGTTTTCCAACATACCGACTTTCTTCCTCCCTTTCAGCGACGTAAATTCTACACTTTTATTTCATGGTTTTCTATGCATAATAAGCCAAGTAATTTCTATCTTTTCCATCTTTTAATGATTTTTTTTTTTTTTTAAAAAACTGAGTTCAACTCGTTTGTGAAAGGGGTAGCAACAAACTTTTATTAGAAAAATTAAATGGACATTAAACTTAACATTAAAAACAGACAATAAATATCATAAACATTTGATTAACCTAAGCTATATATATGTATATATATATATATATATATATATATATATATATATATATATATATATGTGTGTGTGTGTGTGTGTTCATTAAAAATGAACAAAATATAAGAAGAATCAAAACTATCTGCGCCTTTTTTGGAGCCTGTCGCCGGACAGTCGAAGCCACTCTTTAATTATCTTTTCTGCTTCGGCCTCGGTTGGGGTGGAGAGCAGCGGGTTTCTCATTGCTGACACTGAAAAAAAGAAACAAGTTGATTACAACACTTATTGTGAGCCATAAACATTCCATATGAGTAACAGAAGAAATCGTTCCACAGTATTAAATGTATCAATGTATCTTTCTCTAATGAAAGTAAGAACGAAGAGAAACACTGAAATGAAATCTAGACATTTATTAGGTTTAGCCAGTACTTCGGGGGAACTAGCAAAAGTTAAAGTAAAGTTATAAACTAGATGTACTCCAGAATCGCCCTAATTGAGAGACAAAATGAAGTGGACCATAAACGTCTAACCAATTAGAAGTGCGTTTCCCAAAAGCTCTGTAAGTACTCTGTAAGTCTGTAAGTCTGTAAGTTTTTCCAAAACCATCTTAACAATGACTTCTTTCTCTGGATTTTGCCTGCAGTTCTTCACCAAAAGTCCAGAGGGCGCTAATTTGAGCGTATATATATATATATATATATACACATACATATATATGTATATATATATATATAGCGTATAAGTATATAAGTTTATAAGTACATATATATATATATAAGTTTTAAACTTTCTTCGTTTTCTGTTTAGTTAATTATTATTCAAAAGAGTGTAATAATAATAACAGTAGTAGTAGTAGTAGTAATAACTTTAAAATATTATAAAATATTACAATCACTGCTAATGATCATCATAATGTTAAAATATTGTATTATGTTTATAACATTAATATTGTCATTAATATATTTTTAATTTTTTATTATTGTTATTATTATTGCCATTGTCCCATATATAGTTTAATTTAGCATTTTTTCTGATTATTAAATAGGCTAGTAATGAAAAAAGTAAATTAAAACGAATGAATAGCAATTAATAGATTTTTAACATTAAATTCTTCTTCTTCTTCTTCTTCTTCTTATTATTATTATTGTTGTTGTTGTTGTTGTTGTTGTTAATAATAATAATAATAATAATAATAATAATAATAATAATCGACAAGTAGGATATGTGGGGAGGGGATAGGCTCATGATTGTAAAAACCTAAAAATTTTAGTCGCTGCAATTGTACTTGATTAACTGGAAGTTTTGGTTGACAATACAGAAGAAACATCCTTTTTCTGCCACTTCTTGTTTTATTACTTATTACCTGCCCAACCTTAGAAACAAATGTGTGAAATGGGCTGATGCTGGCTCACTAACACGTTCTGGGTGGATCTATCGCCGCGAGATATTTGCATTTGAGCCACACCTCTCTGCGTCAACCTCCAGATCAACAAAGCATCCAACACTGCAACGCTACCGAAATGAAGTGTGATGCCGAGCTCCTCCACTATACAGGTAATTATTTCTCAAAGCACATTTCGTTCTAGATGGCATTGGCATAGCAAAGTAGCTGAAGTTGTTGTCCGTGAACTATGTATGTAAGTATGTAGGTAACCATGTGAGCCTCTGGTTTCTGAGGAGTTTTAGCTAGGTTTTGTGTTAGTTTACCTTTGCTTAGCAAATGTCTTTTTTATGCGTTTGTCATACATCACCACATTAAAATATTTACATGTACCTCAGAAAGGAGCGCACTACTGACATAGCCTGTGCTCCATTTGACTATTTTAATGTATCAGGGCCTGCATGATGTTTGTGGCGATGTTTTGGCGGGAACGCTGAGGGGAGTGGCGGCAATTTTTGTCTGTAGAGTTTCAAAAAGTATCTTCAAATATTGTTAGGAAACACAACGTTTAATGATTTTTGTTTAAAGTTCTGACTAAATTTATGTTATGACTAAGTTTTTGGACCTTTTGCAAATACCCCTTTCTTAAATTACTCATAGAATGGACAACGGAACTTTAACGTTTTCTTGCTATTGAAGTTCAGAAAACTGAATAGTGAGCTGAGTTTATTGTTGCACCCCTATTTATAAACCCATGAGATACCGGGGGTACTTAATATTTTTGGACAAGATATATTGGCATTTACTGTAGTTATATAACAATTTATTTTCTTTGGAGCTTATTTTCTCCTTAAAAATATGGATGTAAGATTTAAGTATATTTGAATTTGGAAAAACAAAAAAAAGTAAAAATTTAATTTCTGAGCCCAGCTGAGAACACTAATATGTATATATATATATATATATATATATATATATATATATATATATATGTATATACCATCCATCCATCAGTATGGTTACAATTTGACTACTGAATAAGGGCTAGAAGATTGGAAGGTGCACCAACAAAATATGTGCTCCATATAAAGTGGTAAGTGAATCTACGGAGCTATCAATGGTAAACAATAGGTTCTTGTACTTACAGACGATGGTGTCTTTCAGATGTGTATTTTTTATTGCCGTTTTCTCTCCTCTGCCACACCAGTTCAGCTGCACAGCTAGCTGAGGAGCGAACACCTTCCCACAAATCCGCCAGACAGTTTTTTTAAGCGTTTGCCCCCCAGCCAGTGACAGTTTTGACACCTGTAATTGACAAAAATGTTTGGTGAGTCATGTGAACATGCTACAATTTCTACATTCAATTGACCTGTACACCATACATTTACAGTATACATTTTTGGTAAGGTTTTGGAAATTTGGGAAGATAAAAATAAAATCGACTACCATTCTTTGCCTGAAGCTCATGTTTTGAAGGTGGATTTCCATGTCTTTCAAGGCCTGGATGCTTTCCAGCGGGAGTCCATCATCCTCCCCTGCATCTACTGGTGCCAGTGGAGTCTGTCCCAGGCTGTTGTTCCCCCAAAAAGGTGCTCTCTGGGTAACAACTGCAGTTAGATGCTGGACCTGGACCTGCAGTTCCCCCAGCATATCTAAGATGGCCCGCTCAGCTGCTGGAAAGACACACAAGACATTACGGTAATTCACTAGTCGCTATCTGATCATTAATTAAGACAATTAAGAACAATTTTATAGAATAGGTTTTACTTTAACTTACGTGTGCATTAACCTGGTACTAGTCGGCCTGTGGACAGATGGATTCTAGGTGCATTAGCTATTTAAAAACAGGGAAAATGTATTGGTCTGCTTGTAAGTATGACAAATTAGACATTTAAAAAATTAGTTTGTTTGCAGTGAAGTAAAGGTAAATCTGTTTGTGCAAAAAGTAGGTACAGCTCAGCAATAATTCCCACAATTATAAAGTCACCATCATTTGTGGAATGTTGTAATCTTACTTTGTCCTGCTGACTGATTGTCACAGTGGTGTTTTTCCAAACCGGCACTTTGATTGTCTTCAGTAGCTGAAGAAGGAAAATTGGTCAGCACTTGCTGAAGATCTATAAAGTGAACAAAATGCACTACTGCATTGTTAAGAAACAATTTAATTAATTGTAATGTTAATGACTTACATGACTGTAAAGAAACCTTTCTTTGTTCTGTGAAGGTTGATAGCGGGACTTGATGGAGAAATTGGCTGTGTGACATCACTGAAAGCAAATAGGTATGCAGTCACTATATGTGCTGATGACGTTTTATTTGTGTTGGTAAGGATTATATATAGGATGATTTACTGTAATTAGGATATTTTTATGTTTGAAAACAACAAAAATACAGATCATATTCCTCTATTGATGTTGATAAATAATTACCAAATGGGGGGTTCTATTACTGGATTTTAGTCAAAAGTAACTTTACTGTGCTGTGTTGTTTCATCCAGCCAAGCAGCCTGAATGCTTCCCTGGTAGGACTGGACCTTTGACATCACTGAGAAAAAGGAAATTGGTATGTACTAGTAATATTTATTATTTGTTACTCTTAATTTGTTTTATTGTTTTAATTAATTCATTGATCAGATTAATCCAGTATTAAATGTCTGTTAGAAAACGTATATGAGCATCTAGCTCATATACTTTTTCTAGCAAAAAAAATTACGCTGAATCACTCTGATCAATAAATAAATAAAAAGTATATAATTGTGTTATTTATTTTATTTCTTGATTTTTAACTAACCTACCCTGTTTATTTTTATAGTTATTTACACAGTTGTTCTTTAGAGGCCTTACCTTTTTGTCTTGGTTCTGAGGGCTCATCTGGCCAGTACCCTGGGATATCATCTGTATGGAAGCTCTTAGCCTGTGACATGGCTAAGAAAGCATAATTTGGTAAGTACTTTGTCAGTATAAAACTTTTTGGTTTTCATGTGCTTTTATGCATGGTGCTTGAAATATTTTAACTCACTTGTGCTCGCTTGTGTAATGGGCCTTCCAGATATTATTTCAGGTTGCATTGCTGGCACTAAATGAAAAGAACCATGTTCAGTGTGGTAATAATGGTAGTAATTATTTACAAACCCAGTTACAAAAAAATTGGGGCAGTAAAGCAGTGATTCTTTTTGACCTGTATTGAATTGAAAACAGTACAAAAACACAATATTTGATGTTTTACCTTATGAACTTCATTGTTTTCTGTAAATACATGCTCAATCTAAATTTGATGCCTGCAACAAAGGTAGGACAGGAACATGTTTACCACTATGTAACATCGCCTTTTCTTTTAACAGCACTTAATAAATGTTTGGGGGATGTGTGATATCCATCACATAACCATGCCTGTTTTTAATGCATTGCCATGTGAGGAGTCAAAGGTCATGGGCATTCACTAGGGGTTTTTGGCCTTTTCTCTGGATTCTCTGAATCCTGAATTAGTCTATATATATATATATATATATATATATATATATATATATATATATATATGTATATATAATCCAAGCATGACTGCATAACTTGTTTAAGGTGTTTTTTAAATATTTCACAATGTTCCTAGTCTTAAATTGCTTCTGTCCCAACTTTTTTGGACTGTGTTGCAGGCATGAATTACAGAATGAGGGTATATTTACATGAAACAATGAAGTTGATGAGAAGAAACATTTCATATTTTGTCTTTGTACTGTTTTCATTCAAATACAGCTAGATTGATAAATAGAGATAGTAGATATAAGTAGATTTATAAATCACTCCTTTCTGTTTTTTACACTTATTACCTGCTGTTTCATCTTTTTAATTAAAAAATACTGTGTAACGTAAAACTTACTGCTTCTGTTAGTTCCGTGATTTTGTTTTTTTGAAACGTTTAGTTGATGGACTGGTGGCAGCGGTGGTGGTGGTGGTGGTGGTGGTAGGGATGGTACTTTTTTCCTTCTCATCGGAAGATTCTCCCTCTGAGGGCTAATGAGGGGCCGTTTCTTTTTGGGAGAATGGTCTGGCATTTCGAATGGCCTTTTAGGTCTAAAATCAAATGGAAAGCCTCACAAAGTACTAAACCATGTTGTGTGACAAATTATAAAATTACTTGGGTTTTCGTGAGGATTCATTATCTGAATTTAGATCTGATGTCTCGCAGGATGTTCTCCATTTGTGGACTACCTTGTCCAAAGAATCTGTAAAATATTTTATATGCATTTTTAAATGCAGGAACATAATATACAGCAACATCTGCACATTTCACAGTTTAACTTGTATTGTTTGTATGTGAAGGTGAGTTTTGTGTGGAATGTACAACCCCATTTCCAAAAATTTGGGACGCTGTGAAAAATAAAGAAAAAACAAAATTCTATGATGTGCAAATCATTTTAACCCTATATTTCATTGAAAATGCTTCAAAGACAACAAATCAAATGTTGAAACTGAGAAATTTTTATTGTTTTTTGAAAAATATATGCCCATTTTGAATTTGATGCCAACAACACATTCCAAAAAAGTTGGGACAGGGACATGTTTACCACTGTGTTTCATCACCTCTTCTTTTAACAACTCTCTGTAAGCGTTTGGAAACTGAGGAGACGCTGCTGTAAGTGAAATGTTTTCCTGTTCTTGTTTGATACAGAGTTTCAGCTGCTCAACAGTTCGGGCTCTCTTTTGTCACATTTTTAATTTTATAATGTGCCAAATGTTATCAGTGGTGACAGGTCTGGACTGCAGGCAGGTTAGTTTAGTGCCCAGACTCTTTTGATACAGAGCCATGCTGTTGTAATACACGTAGAATGTGGTTTGACATTGTCCTGCTGAAATAATCAAGGCCTTCCCTGAAACAGACCTCATCTGGATGGCAGCATATGTTGCCAAAACATGTATATATCGTTCAGCATTAATGGTGCATTCACAGATATGCCAGTCACCAATGCCATGTGCACTAATGCCCCCTATACCATCATGAATACTGGCTCTTGAACTGTGCACTGATAACAAGCTGAGTGGTCTTTAGTCCGGAGGACACAGTGTCCATGATTTCCAAAAAGAATTTTAAAAGTTGATTTGCCAGACCACAGGACACATTTCTGTTTATACATGCTTTCTTCTTTGCGTTTAAGAATTTTAATTAGCATTTGTGGATGCAGTGCTTAACTATTTTCACAGACAGTGTTTTTCAAAAGCGTTTCTGAGCCCATGCAGTGATTTCCACTACAAAATCATGTCTGTTTTTAATGTATTGCTGCCTGAGGGCCTGAAAATCACAGCCAGCCAATACTGGTTTTTGGCCTTGTTTCTCCAGATTCTCTGAATCTTTTAATCATGTTATATTCCGTAGATGATGAAAAGCAAAAGTTCTTTGCTATTTTGCGTTGAGAAACGTTACTCTTGAATTGTTGCACTATTTGCCTGCTCAGTCTTTCACAGAGTGGTGAACCCCTCCTCATCTTTATTTCTGAAAGACTCAGCCTCTCTAAGATGCTCATTTTATACCCAATCATGTTATTGACCTGTTGCCAATTAACCACCACATGTTTTTTTAGCATTGCACAACTTTACCAGTCTTTTGTTGCCCTGTCCCAACTTTTTTGGAATGTGTTGCTGGCGTCAAATTCAAAATGGGCATATATTTTTCAAAAAACAATAAATTTCTCAGTTTTAACATTTAATATGTTGTCTTTAAAGCATTTTCAATGAAATATAGGGTTTCAATATTATTAATATTATTAAATGTATTTTAGACTACCTGAACGATAAAGGATCCGAGCTTGGTGCTGTGTCCACCCTCTGTTGACATCTGGGACCTCGTTGGCTCGAATACTTTTCAGAAGTTTGCTTTTTTCTGTGTATGGAGGCCACCATGACATGCCCTCACGGTACCACTCTGCTGCCACTGGGCTTGTGGTTCCCTCGTCCAAAAATTCAACTAGTAGGTACATTCCTAACATACAAGGATCCACCATACCACTCATAGTATGTCATCAAAATAAACTCTGATTGAAATCATTATGAATAAGGAAAATGAATAAAAATGATTGGGGTTAAAAGAGAGGGTCTGCTTATATATAATTCTCATTAATTTGTATGCAGAAGGGGAATAGAAACAAATTTCCTGTTGTATGGCACAACAAATGCTTTCTGTTGAACTTCCGAAAATTTGCAAAATTCAGTGGCCCCTGAGAGCTTGTCTATTAAGTAGATCCCAAGTGTGGTTGAGGAAACTGGGTATTCAAAGAATGATTCTTGTTGGAGAAAAAAGGCGTATGCAATGTAAATCTCATTTCCGTGTAAAAAAATATTTCTCACTCTGGCGACTTTGTTGTTGATGTAAATAAAGCTGTTGGCTTCATCTAATTTTAGAGAGAAACTCTGTGTTCTCAGTTCACGGTACTGGTTGGCTGCTTGGATAGACTGGGGAAGAGGGCCACAGACATGCTGTTTATATAATCCTGTTCTTTTCCTGTTTCGATGCAGTTGTTTGGGCCTTTCTGACAGTCTTCTGACAACTTGACTGAGTGGGCAGCCAGGTTTTCTAATTAGTTTCTTCATCTGATGAAGGAAAGATTCAAATTTAAATGCACTGAAGTTGTCAAGTGTGCCATGTGTTTTGACGTCTTGTGCCAAATGAACAAGGTTGTGTATGTTGTAGGACATGAATTTTTCCCCATAGAGCTCTTGAAAGTGTTTCACAAATAAAAGCAAAATATCATTTGCATACTGAAGATAGTCTCTGAGTAGTTTCTTGTTGGATAAAATAAACACCCCTACAAAAAGTAAAAGAAAATTTTGGTATGCTGTTATATTTAGGGTGTTGTTTAAAAGAACAGGCCCAGTGTAAAACAAAATCTGCCAGAACTCAGTAGCTTTCCATCTGTCCAATTCTCTTAGAGTCCTTGGTCATCGGGAGAATTCCATTGGAACATTTTTCCGGATTTGATCAAGGCTGTTTGAAAGGCTGTCAACAGCAGAGGCAGGCAATCTGCAGGACAAGGGACCCCGAAGCCACAACAGGAGCAGCCTGCGCATAACACCCAGGCATACAAGGTGGATGTAGTCTAAAGGAAAGCCTGTTACCATTTTTAATGATGTTCGCTGCAGTGGTGTTGGACCACGATGATGTTCTTCATCTTGTTGAGCCCTGAACGACTCATCCGTCCTAAGCAAAGCATCAGTTTCAGGAAAAACAATTCGATTGTCAATGTATTTGCCCTGCTGAGTACACTTCCCACAGCCATTGTAGCCTGAGTGACCTTTTATGTTCTTCACAAAGGCACATGCTGGAGCATCGTAAACCACTGTACATTAAGGACATGAAGTCTCCTTTGTAATCAAACCCTTTTTCAAGAGCTGAAATGTCTGACACAAAATCTTCCAGGAAGGCATCCAGTGATCCTGGTTTTTGTTTCCCACAAAACAAACCAATTATAACTGGGTCATGTTCTGGAAGATTTTCAATCATTCCTAGAATAGGCCAAAATTGCATGGTGGAACTCTTGAATGAAGTAAGCCATCAATGTTGACTTGGAGGTCCAGAAAGTGTGTTTCCTTTACAACATCCTTGTGTTCTTCTAAGAGATGCGTAATAGATTCAAGCACACCAAAGTGATAATACTGACTCCCAGCTATATCCTTACAGTGAATTTTGGTTGAACGAACTGTTCCAAGCAATGTTCTTGCATCGTGTGGGAGCTCTTGGTGATAATCTGAAAGGATCTTTAAGAGACCATTTAACGCACAATGTGTAATATTGTGCTCGACAGCCCATGCAGCCAAACCACTTTGCAGAGAGGCTTGGAAGTCTGTATCTGAGTCTGTGTCAGATTCGCTTTCAATGGAGTCATAGACATCAAAAAATTCATCATTGTCAACATTGGACAGACAGTCTTCATCATCTGGTTCTTGCAATTGATAGAAATGCCCACTTCCCCATTAATTTACGTTGGTAGGCTGTAATTGTTCATCAACCTTAGCTTTGGACTTCCTTCTTAATGTCCAATATGAAGGTGTTGAGAAAGCCATATTGTACTGACAGATTAAAAGAGACAGAACAAGAGACATACAATAAAACAAGTAGCTTAAACAGTCTTCTGTTCCATTTTCTGACAGTTCAATGGTTACTTACTGGATGCAGATCAAAAAGTGAGATGTTCACAGAGAATTAGGAATCTGTAAGGTAAATATGAAATATTTTCTGAATCATAACAGGTACTAAAGACACTATAGTATTACTTATTTCATTCAAGCTCAGCAATAGGGAAAATGTTTTATCAAAGATTAGTTGTGTACTATAGAAAAGAAGTGTGGCTATAACTAAGTGTTGCTTCTAAACAGTTTGTTCCTCATCAGATATTTGCTGTACCTCTAACAGTATAATAGTCAGAAATTTGGGCACACCTTATTGAATTTATTTTTAATAATCTCATAAACACATTTCGATCTAAAGGCTTCCACTTAAAAGCTTGGGATTTGTTTCTTAATTGAATATAAACAGTGATGTCTGTATATGAAAGGCTACTTAAAGCAATGCAAAATGTAAAATTTAGACTACAATATATATTTTGATTTGACAAATTGAACAAATGGAACAAATGAAAAATATCTTTTATTTTAAATTCTTCAAAGTAACTCCTTTTGCCTTGATGGAGCTTTACACAGTCTGTTCTCTAAAGCACCTTCATGAAATGCCACCTAGAATGCTTTTCCATCAGGACTGAAGAAGCTCCACATACACTGGCTTGCTGCTGGTGAAAATAGCCATTTGAAATGGTATTTTAAATTTAACCCCAGGCTTATTATATACTAAGGCTTATTATTCTGTAATTACAGGGACTTCCATGCTAACTGGCTGAGCTATTCTTAGGGTATAGAACTGTGTAATAAAACTTTGGGCCCACCGGTGGGCCCTGGCCATTTAAGGGGTTAAAGCTTTGTTTTGTAAAAAGATTCATATATAGGCATCAGCTCAAACATTTATATACTGTTTGTCTTAAAAACAAAATTCAAGCATTTAAGCTTATATTTTTAGCTCAAAGTATCCTTAAGATTACTGAAAACATACATTTTGTCAGGTGTGTCTAAATTTTTGACAGGTAGAATGTGAAATGTTTTAACCCCAGAAATCACTAACATGGCCAAAATTGCTATTATGTTTTTTTTCACCACTTTGTTAGTGTGCTACATAACGTTTCAAACAGTGATGCCACAGTTGTTAGTTAAAATTATATTATATAAAATTATAGTTAAAAACATATTACGATATATATTTAGAAATGTCCTGCATATATTATAATTTTGTCAGATGTATATTTTCTATATACATAAATGTCAAGAAACACCAGTAAGTCATCAACATCCCATATTAGCACCATCAGATTTATTGTGTAAAATACTTTACTGTATTGCATACTTAGATTGCTTCCTACATTTTAAATATGTGAGGTAAGGGTTGTAATATTGATTGGCATATTAACGGTCACATGCTGATATAGAGATCCACATTTCCATGCATTCCATGTCCCAGGGCACCTGATTCCTTGATGTTTAGCTAATAAACTGGATTAAGTGTGTTGGGCAAAGAATGTATGGAGCTGTGCTGGGAAGGGGATTGTCAGGAGGAGGATTAAGAAACACTGATCTAGCAGATTCTTCAGATATATAGATATAAGCGGAGATGTTTGAACACCCCTGGTCAAATTACATGTTTTGTTGATTGTCTATGTGAAAAAAGGTTAACATAAGGTTAAATATGGCATTTTTTGTACATGTGCTGAGGATAAAAACATACTGGAAAAAACATAAAATATGTCATAACTTTCAAATAGGCCACATTTTGTGTTCTATTTTTCCAGTACATCAAATGCAGCAAATAAACAGTAATTTGTGCATTTAACATGCAGAAGTGTCTGGAGAGGATATGTTAACTTATTTTCACTTTGAAATGCAATAAAACATCATTTGACCAAGGGCACACAAACTTTTGCATCTGACTGTATATACTCTATACATTTTTTTTACAGGTGAAGCCAATATGGCATACTTCTATTTTCTCTATTTTTTTTTACTTTTCTAATGTCTTTTTGAAGTAGTCTAAGCTTGTGCATGGTAAAGGGTTGAGGGTTTATATTTCTGATTAGAATGAGATTATTACATCAGACATGCCTTGTTTAAATTTTTCTGGGCATAATTTTCAGCGTTTTACTTCAGAGCTTAAAGGGGAATTTTTTTTTTTATTTCTGCTGAATTAAATTGTCATGATGTAACAGTGATTCAGAGTGGTTTGATCTAAAAGGCTCTGTTCTAGAGAAACTTGCTGAGTCAGAATCATACATAGTGACAGTGGTAAGGACCAGGTGTATGAAGAGCGTAATACCTCTAAAAGCTACATCACAGAATGCTATTACATGAAATGATTACAGATACTTAATGCCATGCCTAATGGTTTGTTTTACAATCATTTAGAGATAGATGATTGAAGATTTTTGTATAAAACAATTCTTTATGTGTTCATGGCAGAAACATACTTTTTTCAGATTTTCTACTATTATCATCAACATTCCATATAAAAATGTATTAGACACATGTAGGTTCACTGGTGGTTTTGGATAGTAAATAAAATTAATATCAATTTGTGTTGTAGACATAACAACCCCTAGTTTCTATCACCATTGCTGTAAAGAAATCTGCATCAAAAAATTTCTCTACAGCAGTGGCCACCAACCCTCCTCCTGGAGATTTATTTCCTGTAGAGTTTAGTTCCAACCTAGACCTTATCCAACACTAATACATCTGATCCAGTCAATCAAGAACATGCAAAAAAGTTAATTATCTGGAGCAGGTGTGGCAGGTTGGAACTAGACTCCACAGGAAGGTAGATCTCCAGGAGCAGGTCTGGTGACCACTGCTCTACACCATTTCAAACCTCTCCGAATGATTTTGTTTGCATCTTCTCAACCCTTGAATTATGAAATATTAGGAAAAAAAATGTGGGATTTAAGCATTTATGTCTGAATGCCTATCACTAATTTAATGACCTCTAAACTATCCGATTGGAGGACTTTATATGAGTGTGGTCTACAAGCCAATGGGCGCGCAGAAACGAATTTGAAAGTTGCTCCGCCCGTATGCCTCCGGACGTTATACGAGGTTGTGCACGGGCTGCGTTGGGCAGTCTACCGAGTGCGTGTGCGATAAGAAGTTAAAACAGGCGAGAAGGTAGGTTTTTTTATGTTAAATATCGTTTATTGTTGTATTTAATGTTTAAGGCCACGCCAAAATAACTTTTACTTCAGTTAAGCGTTGAGTTTCAGGGGTAACACAAATCTGGTTAACCTAGCTAGCTAACCAAGTTTGCTATCGTTAGCTAGCATAGCAAATGTGAGGTGTGTTTGTTCAGTTCGCACTTGCAACGCAGACATTTTTATTACTTATCTTTAGGTTAACTATTCTTTTTTAACAGAATGTGTCCTGTGTCACAGATGACACAATCGAGTCATCCTAATTAAACAGGCTCAGGAGCAACTTTCATCTGACGTTAAAGGTAAAAACATTTAACTTAATTAAATAAGTTTTCACGGTAGCTTGCTTTAAAAACGTAGAATGGACCGACATGTCCTGTGGCTGATTTGCCGTAGTATAATCGGCCATTTTATAGCCATGTGAAGTAGCTAGATAATTATGCTAGCATATTGTTTGTCAGCTAGGTTAGGTTACCTTAGTTTAACTTATTTCGAAAGAATAACTGAACTACTAAGGCATGAGACATTGGACACTTCTTATTCTGGATCTCCTCAGACCTAAGAATTTTGGTAATATCACCTCAGATTTTATTTTAAGCGTAGGATAATATGAAACTGAAGGTGGATTCTTACTCCAATTTTCCATTCCACCTTAAATAACGCCACGGTTGCGCAGGCGCCAGAATATAACGTTAACTGCAGCACCATTTAAGGTGGAACGGAAAATTTGAATAAGAAGCTAACGTCAGCCTCGTGCTGTACCGGAGAAAACGTTAACATGTTTAGTTCTTTTGAGCATTCTTTTCATCGTTAATATCCTGGATTTTGAGTGATATTTTCTTTAGCTGCTGTTAAAAATGTGGCTGTGCTATTTATCCCGCTCACATTGGCTTAAACTAAATGTTCACCGTTGGCCTAACGGCGTTACCATGGATACAGCAAAACTGCTTAACCTCTCAACGGTAGCTTAGCTGAGTATTATAGTTATATGCAGGATTTCAGTCATATTTATGCATTTACGCTATAAAATTAGAAAAAAAATTAAAGCTATAAAACCAGTTATCCAGTATAAGCTGGCTCAGATTGGATGTGGATAAATGTGATATAGATACTTTATCGCCCCCTCAGTGATATTTTTGGACTCAACTCACCCAGTAACTTTAGTTAACTAACTATGTAAATATAAAATAGATGGCTACAGAACTGTAAATAAAATACTTACCACAAATTTGTCCACAAAGACAAAATATTGTAGCTTTTATAGCCGACTGTTTGTAAACTTAACCTATGTAACCTAGTAAACGGAACGATATTTATGCTGTGTATTGAACAATTAACTAACTGATTATGCTCAAACTTTAAATAAAATACTGAAACAACGTCTAAACTATTGAACAAATGTTGGAGAGGCACGAAAAAACACAAAAGCTGTTCCGAGAGAGTGAAGTAAGCTGAAGTTACACAGAAAATCCGAGTGACCGTTTTTGACAGTTATTTTTTTCAAGACTTGGGATCCACGAGACCTCTGTCTCGTGCGTGCAGTTTCCCGCGCCACTGCCCCGCTAGAGAGAAATACCCGACTGGTGTGTGTGAAACAAGTATGCACTTAAGACAGCTATTTAAAACAATACAGATCACAGTAATTAAAAAAGCAACATTATGATGAATAATAATAATAACCTGTTTTATTTATGCAAACGGAAAATAACAGTAAGCAGCAAACAGTGAAGTGCAGTTAGGAGTTGGCTGAAGGAAACTTTGCCTGCTTATTTTGCTGAGTAAGAGTCCGAAGAGGCTGAAATACGTGATCTGCAGGGTGAGACGTTAAACTTAATTTTTGAAATTCTTTTCTTGATATTTGTTGCACTGATGAGCTGAAAAATAACAATCTCACCCATGTTCACATCTGTTCAAGCTTAATGTAAACAATGACTGACAGTGACAGAATGAAGCTGTTTGCATTATTTTCTCGGTACTGGATTTATTCTCCTTCACTTATAAATCAAATCTAGTAGCACAATGCTGCGTTCATCCTCATGTCTTGGAGTCCATGTCTATGAGGTGTATGTAGTCAGGTTTTAGAATTTTTACATTTCTGTAATGCACCGTATGTCACAGTTTATTTTTTGACATTTGATGATCGGAAAGACAAACAACAAGCGGTGCCAAACTTAAAAAATACTGTTAAACCACAAATACAATGATTGTTCTGTTCACATTCTGTGCTGCACTGAATCTAATTAAACAGGACTAATGTTGCTTTCTTTGTAATGAAACATGCAGTTGGTCGGTACTCTAGAAGTACCAAAGTACTGAAGATATCCATGATATTGTGACATACTGTGGTAAATATTGTCATATTGCCCAGCCCTAGAAGGAATGTGTTAACAGTGATAATTTATATACATTTTTGTTTGGATAATTCTTAATGAACTGCAGCTTAGTTATGGCAACATTGATGTACGGGTCAGTTTACACATTAGTCTAAATTTTGCTTTTTTAAATATGTACATGTCATGTTCTCCTTTTATTGTTGATCATAGTTTATTAAACAGGATTATTACAAGGAATTGATATGTCTCTACAGGGCATAAATAAGCCATTAGGCAATGGAAGGGCAATTTTTTAGTCCTGTTAGCATCTTTGAAAGCAAAAAGTGCTATTGAAGCAGGATTCCATCAGGTTTGTTTGTAAATGTGTGAAATAACTTATTACTCATAGTGAAGTTGCTCAGTGTTATTTGAGTGATATGTGAATTGAATCGGTTAATTCTTTAAAGAAGTAGCACTGAAAGTCAGCCTAAGCCGAGCAAGAAGCGTAGGGCAAGTCACATGGGTAGGGGTGTAATCAATAATCTTGATCTTTCAACAAAAAAAAAAACATGGTGATTATTTTTAGATCCCTCCCATTTAAACTGATCCTTTGAAAACCAAAACTAAAAGCATATCACCCATGTTTTTCCAAGTACTGCACTTATAACCTGTGTCTTCCAGGAGTTCTTTTGTTTGTGTTAAAGTTCTTAATGGCCTGTCACCTTTGTAGCTTAAGGCCTGTGGGCCAGCACATGAACAGAGATCTGCAGATGCCAAAATTACTTTACGTACATTTTAGGTGCTTTTAACAAAGTCCTCAAAAGAAGTGATCACATGTGGTTTTATTCAAAAGGAACATTAGAGATAGAATTTTGCAATTTCCCTCCAGGATCAATAGTGTTTCAGTAGCAAGACATATAATTGCACATAAACTTACATATACTATGCAGAAAAATAGAAATAAATCTAGACATGAGTTAAAGTACAAGAGAAATAAAATAAAAGTAAAAATAAAAATCTGTTTACATATTCACATGGCATGTGAGACAGATTTGTTGTATTTACAGCAGGCACTGAGTGGTATGAGGTAAACTAAAAGCACATTATAAACATAACTAACTCAGAGTTGCATCAATATTACAGTGTGTAAAGTGCATAGTGAAAATGTCATTACAGTAATAGTTGATATATTGCGCAGTGTATTAATCAGAGAGGAGATACAGTGATGTGGTTCAGCTCAGATAGCAGGAGATCAGTACCTTCTCTGCAGTAAAGAGAATTGTTGTAGAGCACTTATAGCAGTGGGTAAGAAATCTCACACGGCCTCTTTAACACAGCGCAGCTGTAACAGATGGCTAGTGAATGTGCTTCTCCGTTTATCTAGTGTAGCATGCAGAGGGTGTGAGGTGTTGTCCAAGATGGCTAACAGCTTGTTGAGCATCCTCTGTTCTGCCACAACCTCAGAGTCCAGCGTGACTCCTACAGCAGAGCCTGGCTTCCTAATAAGTTTGTTCATTTTGTTCAAAACACTTTTGTTAGTGCTGCTGCCCCAGCAAACAGCATAGAATAGAGCACTCGCTACAACAGACTGGTAGAATGATTATCTTGCAGTGTTAACACATTAGCTTTTAACCTTTTTCCTTCTGCTTCATTGAGGTCAGATTCAGAAATACCCCCATTTCCTGGAGATCTACTCTACCCCATCATCAGAAGTCCTTCTGCTCTTATGCAAGTATTCAATTTATTGACACTATGTTAAGACCATTCCAATTCTTACAATAAATCCATTCATAGTTTTAAATGATCAGACATAGCAAACACTTGTTTGTTTTGAAGGTCTACACAGGCATTAATCTAAAGTATGAGCCCGGCTTGTACCAGACACCTCGAAACCAGGCCTGACTGGGCCCGACTAGTACTTGCACATTTGAAACTCAAACCGGAAATCGTTTGACTTTTTCTTCCACAGGGTAAGTAGATATGCACACAGACAAAGGCTGATTCTCAGAGTTGCTTTAATGATGCTTACTTGTGTCCACTGGAGTTGAGACATGTTAGGTGCTGTGATAAGCTGGTATTTTACTTTTGATAATGGGGGAATACCTGCAAACTTAATGGAGAGGGAGCAAACACTAGGCAAAAGAATTTAGGTTAGGCTTCAGTTTTTGGTTATGCATTTTTCCAATTGTTTACATTTTTTAGAACTGAATATTCCACATGGGAATGGCCATCATATGGTAAATGGCTGTATATTTGCCTGTGGGATTGTAAGCTGGATACATGCCAGTTGTGGGTTTTTAATTTTTTTTTATTTTTTCCTTTTTGGTATAGATAAAGATTTAGTTTCACAAATTTGTCTTTATACACGGCATACATTTATCTAGACCCTGTATATATTGACTAAAAAGATATCAAACCTGCACACAAACATCTTGAATAAGAAATTTTAAAATAATTCATTATCACTCAGACAACAACATAGCACCTAGCTGAAAATAAACCCACCTGAAACCTGTTGGCCTCTGTCGGATAGCAGACCTGTAGTTTCCACTCAGATCCTCATTAGTCGTTGTGCTAAGCAAGGATGTCAGTACTATAGCAGTTTTTTTTTTTCCCTGAGGATTTTAGTCTGAAATACTGTATCATTTATCTCAAGTAAACTGTGATTTAATGCCAATTCTCAAGAGCATCTGTCGCATCGGAGAAACCTAAAAACCTTGGCATTATGATTTGATTCTGACCTGTCTTTACATGTACTTATTAGTAATATTAGTTTGCTAGCTAATTATGATGGACATCATATGTAGCAAGGCTGTTTCACAGGGTGAAGTTAATGGTGGAAGTTATTCCATCCTTTTTTCTATTTCTGCCTAATTCAGTGGTTAAGATGTAAATAAAGTAATTCGGTGTGGTTTGATGTGAAGTGGCTCTTTGTACAGAACTTTACAGACTCAGATTTCTTTAGTGGGGGTATATGGAACCAGGGGTCACAATGTATACTAAAATATTGCAATTTTATTAACTTTCCAAAACCACTAGTGAACCTCCATGGGTAACCCTTTCTTTTACAGTCTGCTAAGTTCTAGATATTACCCAGGTAAGTATGAGGTACAGACTCCAAGGTACTAGGTAATTATTTTAGGTGAGAAGATATAAAGTACCAGGATAGTCTAAATGAATTATGAAACATCTCACAGGTTCTAGATCAGGCCTGTGGGCCTTGTTTGACACATGGGTACTAGATTGTCAATATTAGAGGGAATGTATGTTATGTATTTACCTGGAACTTCAAAAGAATAAACAGGGTGTGAGTAGGAGCTCAGGTCACTCATCTGTAAAGTCTTAAATAGTATGTATCTGTGTATTACCTAGATACTAAACTGAATCTGAACTGTAAAGGAAAGCAGGGACTCTTTCTATGGTTTTACTGAGTTCTTACAACAGAGTTCTTACAAATTGCCACTTATCATGCAAGTATAAACAGACTAAGAGAGCAGGATTCATCACAATGGTAATACCTGTTTATTAAAACCTTTCGACAACTCTGTTTTTTGACACAAATCCTGTACATTTCAAAGTACAATATTGTACAAGAATGTCAATTCCTACACCTTGCTGTTTAGTTTGCATATACATTCTGTGGAATCAACAGGGAACCCTCATGTTGCTGCTACCTTCTGGCTCTCCTTTTTTTTTTGTTTAGGTTGTAATAGGCTTGCAGGAGTCACTGCTTTTACTTCATTAAAAGGTCTATAGTATGGGGAAACCTTTTGTAAATTTTTATTCCCCAGTCCATATATGGAAACTTAAATTATGCAAACTAAGTTGTGAAAACCGCACCTTCAGGCTTTTGAGGTCATGAAAATGGATGCATTTACCTGTATACACCTATTTGGCCTTGAGCAGTTTAGCTCTGCCATTCACATGAAGCTTGAAATTGGGTTTTGGCCCATAGTGTTTTTGAATGAGACAGAACACATGACAGCCAATCAGGATAAAGGTCTACATATCTGTCTTAAAATCACAGTAATACAGTCTGTTTAATTTTGTGGGATAAAGAAGGGGCTAGAAAACAGTTGTGTAAAAATGAATTATGACTGCTGCTTTTATTTGTTCCTCAGTTATGACTGCTCCTCAGGGGGGCAATAATAAAATGCAAAAAATGTAGGATGGTCCCTTTAACACTATTTCAAGCCCAGTCACCCAAAACAGAGCTAACTGTCTTGTTTCTTTGTGTAGCTGAACAACGGACCACCCTGTCTGGCTTGATGCTGATTGACTTGATCAGGTGTTCCTTCCTGCTCACCTGCCCTCCAGATTAGTTTGACCACCTTGGAGCCTCCTGCAAGTCCATTTACTCTCCTGGTGTGCAAAAAGCCTTACCTGCATGCCCCATTCACCCATTTGAATGCTTACCTGGTCATGGCATGCCCTTACAGCAGTCTTGATTTTAATTCAGATGATCATTCTTTTGAAATGGCCTCTGATAGGTTTCTAGATTGTAATACTTGTACGTCATTGGTCTCATTTTTGTTAATCTAATGACTTTAGCGTAATTAGGCTCCCTTCTTTATTCATTAGCATATTTCTAAGATGCCTCTTCACTTATCACTCTTATTGCTTGTTTTTCTATTTGGGGTTGACCAGTGGAGGATGGGTTCCTCTTAAGGTTTCTCCCTCTTGCTCTGTGGGAGTTGTTGTCACAGTTTTTCTTAGCTTGGTCATTTAGGGCTTGGACCTGGGTTTTTGTAAAGCTACTTTGTCAGTGTCTTAAAGTGTAAGGGCGACTACTTGGCACCACCTGAAGCTCCTGTTATCTGCATCTACTTTTTTGTAAAAGGAACAAGTCTTGCCAGTTGAGAGGCTCAATGGGGAAGTGCTGAAAATTGTTAAATACTGTAATTGTGTTCAGTTTGTGTTCTTGCTAAAATGGTGTTTTAGAAATGCATTGGCATTAATAAATTGTCATAATAAACAGACTCTGTTTTAGATTACCTGTCTTATGTTGTTTGTACTGCCTGGTTGTTATTGTACCCCTGACAGGCCACATTACAAGTTTCTTTACAGTGGTGACTGGAGTCAGGGGTCCCAGAGTCTACAATGACCAGTGAACTTCTGGGCTTATGTTTTGGTGGTGCTGATAAAATAGTGAAAAATCTGTTCTCTTATGGGTACTATTTTGTTATTATTGTATTCCTGGACATTTGTGAAAGAAAGGACACAGTCATGGTTAGCTTTCAAGAACAGGTAAGCCACTGCTTTTGTTTTTGTTTGCTATGGGGTAAATAATGTAGGGATACGTCTTTTTTACCTCTGTTTAAGAAATGCGGAATTAAAACGAGTTAAATGGTTGAAAAATGTTCTGGTACTGACGCTTGGGGTTTATTAGATGTGGAAGTGGGGATTTTAGTGCTTTACCCAGCACAGGGTGAGGGGTTTTTTTGTAGTGTAATACAAAAATCAATGCCATAGTACAAGTGCAAACAAACATGATCAAGATAAATGCACCAGAAAATGGACTGAAACGCGATCTTCCGACGTTCCGCAGATGCAGATTCAGCAGGAGAGCAAAAAGCGACAGTTCCACATTTTCCCTACCAATATCCTACGTCTCAAAATAGAACGCGATGAATTTCCTCCACTTCGGTGTTTTTTACCGACTTTTCGCCTACGTATGTGTGCTGTTTGGGTAGATAGCTAAATAATAACCCGCTAACTGTGAAACAACTTGCTAGCTAAATATTAACCCGCTAACTGTGAAACAACATGCTAGCTAAATATTAACCTGCTAACTGAAAAACAAAAAGATAGCTATATATTAACCTGCTTGCTGAGAAACAACTTGCTAGCTACATTTTAACCCACTAGCTGTAAAACATCTTGCTAACTATATATTAACCCGATATAACTTGCTAGCTATATTAACCTGCTAGCTGTGAAATAACTTGTTAGCTCTGTGCTAACCCACCAGCTGTGAAATAACTTGTTAGCTCTGTGCTAACCCACCACCTGTTAAATAGCTTGTTAGCTCTATGCTAACCTTCTAGCAGTGAAATAGCTTGTTAGCTCTATGCTAATCTTCTAGCAGTGAAATAGCTTGTTAGCTCTATGCTAACCCGCTAGCTGTGAAATTGCTTTTAAACTCTGCTATCCCGCTGGCTGTGAAATAGCTTGTTAGCTCTATGCTAACCTGCTAGCCGTGAAATTGCTTTTTAACTCTATGCTAACCCACTAGCTGTGAAATAGCTTGTTAGTGCTACGCTAACCCACTAGCTGTGCAATAACTTTTTAGCTATATATTAACCCACTAGCTGTGCAATAACTTTTTAGCTACATATTAACCAGCTAGCTGTGAAACAGCTTGCTAGCTACATATTACCCCGCTAGCTGTGAAATAACTTGCTAGCTACATTTTACCCCATTAGCTGTGAAGTAACTTCCTAGCTATATATTAACCCGCTAGCTGTGAAATAACATGCTAGCTACATATTATCCCATATATTATCCCATAACCAGCGGGTTAATATATAGCTAGCAAGTTATTTCATAACTTTTTGCTCTATGCCAACCTGCTAGCTGTGAAATAGCTTGTTAGCTCTATGCTAACCTTCTAGCTGTGAAAGAGCTTGTTAGCTATATGCTAACCTTCTAATTGTGAAATAGCTTGTTAGCTCTATGCTAACCTTCTAGCTGTGAAATAGCTTGTTAGCTCTATGCTAACCCACTAGCTGTGAAATAGTTTGTTAGCTCTATGCTAACCCACTAGCTGTGAAATAGCTTGTTAGCTCTATGCTAACCTTCTAGCTGTGAAAGAGCTTGTTAGCTATATGCTAACCTTCTAGCTGTGAAATAGCTTGTTAGCTCTATGCTAACCCACTAGCTGTGAAATAGTTTGTTAGCTCTATGCTAACCCACTAGCTGTGAAATAGCTTGTTAGCTCTATGCTAACCCGATGGCTGTGAAATAGCCTGTTAGCTCTATGCTAACCTGTTAGCTGTGAATTAGCTCATTAGCTCTATGCTAACCTGTTATCCTCTATTTACCCTGAAAGGTGTTTCAGTTTCACTTCAAGCTCAGTTTGTTTTGTCTATTCAGGTGTAAATAAATCAGATCTGAGTTTATCAACACTTTATTTTATTAATGATCATAATTTATTGATCTGTTCATCATCTCCATCTGAAGCACCTCCAAAACAAAGAAACACAAACTGAACTGCTTTATAAATGAGGCTCAATACAGCACAGCCAATCAGAACAGCCCATATACATATATCAGTCTTAAAGGCACAGAAACAAATACAGACTGTTTAATTATAAAGAATATAGAGAAGATAAAAAATGATCAAGTAAAAATGAATTATGACTGTTTTAAACACAGAGAGAAACAGACAGAGAGAGATACAGAGACAGACTCAGAGAGGGAGAGAGATAGACAGAGAGAGGGAGAGACAGAGACAGGAAAAGAGAAACAGAGACAAAAAGAATTCAGTTTTCTATTTTTTATTTTTATTTGTTAGAGTTCTGTGTGTGTTTTGTGAGGTTCTCATGTTATTCTATTTTATTTTTGTGTGTGTGCGTTGTGTGATTTTCACTCAGGAGGTTATTTTATTTTAAACACATTGAGGAACCAGAACCGACCCAAAACCCAGCGCAGAGCGGTTCAGTGAATGTGGTGTTGAATGTGTGTAGGTGTGTCAGAGTGTTTGTATCAGAGGAGACGCTGTAGAAAGACAGAGAGCCGGCCGGACAGTCCAGATACACTCCTACTCTGTTAGACTGAGAGGAAGGAGCAGAGAGAACAGTGGTGTTCTTATTGTGACAGACAGAGTATCTGTTATCAGAGCAGATCAGAATCCAGGACTTTACATTCCGTCCAAACCCACAGTCAGGACTGTCTCCTTTCCTACTGATTGATTTATATGTTACTGCTACATAAACCGTCCCGCTCCACTCAGCCTCCCAGTAACAGCGTCCAGTCAGAGTCTCTCTACACAGAACCTGCTTATAGGAATCAAATCTCTCTGGATGATCAGGATACGACTGTGAATCTTCCACAAACTCCAACTTTCTGTTCCCGTCAGAGAGACCGAGAGAATTGTTTGCTGTGTTTGGATCCAGAGTGAACTCACAGGAATCTGCACACAAGAAGAGACATTAGAGTGAGTGAGTGTGTGTGTGTGTGTGTGTGACTGTGAGTGTTTAAGTCTGTGCACATTTTTGTGTGATTGTGTTGGTTTTTGTAGTTTACGAGGACCTTTCAGCTGATTTGATTTGATTTGTGCTAGTTTAGTCGTCACATTTAGAAACTCACAGCTAGTTCAAAAATAAAAGTGTAAGACTTCAGCTGTAAATAAGACTGTCCTGATCTCCTTTTAGCAACAGTCAATAAAATATTTCATACATGAAAAAAACAATTAAAACTCAGTGTTATTTTTCTAGAAAGAGTAGAGCCATCATGGAATATGGCTGCTATGGAGCTATGGAAGAAAATTTAATAAAGAAAAAGAGGCAGCAAATGTTACAACTGTTTATAAAGACAAAGATTGGTTTGGTGTGAAATATATAAATCCAGAAAAAGGTAATTTAATGTTCATATTTAATTGGCTGTATGTGTTTATTTGTTTGAGGTTAATGTGGTTTGATGTGGTCAGCATGTTCTCTGTTTTCTCTCGTAGACTGTGGAGTATTCAGCTGTGTCCATTCTGATAAGGGAGGTTTTCTTTTGGATCACAGAGGGAACTAATAACTAAACATGAACCTAAAAGGAGACAGAAAATCTATCATGATGCCCTGAAAGTGTTCATGTCTGAATTTCAATACAGTGGAAAGGTTTATGGTATGAATGAAATTACTCTCTCATTTAGCTGTTCCCATCTCACTGGACAGCCACTTCATTAAGTTCACCTCCTTGTTTCTGCACTCAAAGTAACAAAGTATGCAGAGAAACAGATGGACTACAGTCTGTAACTGTAGAACTACAGAGTGAGACTATTGGTGCGTTCCAATCAGAAGGCAGCTGTCTAAGTAGGCAGCATTCTAAGGCAGCATTTGCGCGCTTCCGAGACAAGTGCTGTCCCATTCAGAAGGCAGCAAAAGGCAGCTGCCTTCTAAGATGCCTTATTTTGACCAAATCTGAAGGCTGCATCGCATGTATCCTTCTCAGTGAAGGCAATCCCACAATACTGTTCACCTGCTCACCTGCTGAGAGTTCCATCGCTCCGGTCTGATCAACATGGCGGTCGAAGCGGCCGAGGAGTTCACAAATGTGAGTTATTTCTTCACTTCTGTCTTTACTGTTTCAATTAGTTGTTGTATTTGTGTAAAGTATTGAACATATTTGTGTTTGAAGATCTCTAGAAATTGTTCCTGTGGTGAAATTCTGGCAGTTCGCTTGCCTAAGGCGAATTGACCGGTTGCGTTTGTAGCTCGTTAGCTAGCTAAAACCAACATTAGTTGTCTTAGCTAGCGGGCTAACTGTGTAAATGCACCAGCTCCTCGAAACGAGAGTCTGGTCTAAAATACTGGCTGTTCACTGTTTAGTGGCGTCTAGTTTAGTTTAGCGTCAGTATTTAGGGATTATTCAGGGACGAACATTACAGCGGCGGAGAGGTGCTGTCTGAGGGGCTGAGGAAGAGGAGCGGTCACAGGGAGAAAACTGCACCGAATGACCGAAAGCAGCTGACTTGCTGAGCGTATTTTGGGGGAAACACAGCGGGACCAGCACTACAGACTGACGTTCTCCCTGAATGATGAAAAATACTTTAACTTATGTAACCTAGAAGTTCTGAAATAAAAGTTTTTTTTTTTTTAACTAAATACTACAGATGATTATTTTTGCTGCTCCGCTTGTCTTGTATTGTTTTCCTTACCATAGTCAGAAAAGTGTGAGGTGAATGTTGACAGCTAAATTTCAGAAGAGGAGCTCATAAATCAGATGAGAATGCATAAAATAAAATGATTATTAGCTGCTTAACAGATTGCATGGGATCCCTTTTTCTGAGTGCATTTTGTACAACATTAAACGTAACATTACTGTTTATCCTTTGTGTGTTAGAAATAAAGCAGGTTCATTAAGGTGGATGAGGACGGAATGAATTGAAATGATTCATAAACTAACGTTAATAGTCACGATTATCTGTATGATGCCTCTCTGGCACTGTCCTGAATGCGATGCCTACTAAGGTTACTATTCAGTTAAAATGCTGCCCAACAAGAGAGCTGCCTTTGAAGGCAGCTCTCTTGTTGGGCAGCTGCCTTCAGAATGGAACACACTACAAGTGGTCAGTGGAGCTGATAAAGTGGACAGTGAGTGTAGAAGGAGGTGGACTTAATGAAGTGGCTGGTCAGTGTAATATGTGAGGACATGCTGATGTGCTAATTTTTAAATGGTTTTCTGTTGTTTTTGTGGTTCTAGAACTAAAAGTTTCTGTTATGTTTTATTTATATGTTTCAGTGTTGATGCTGCTGTGGAAGACGACTCTCTCTGGATACTTGATGAATGATGACCATGTTAGTCCAAAATGAAAACAACCACAGTAGCAGGAAAAACCCATCTGTGTTTACTTGGTATAAGGAACATTAATATGGAGATGCAGGGTATTTAAAGATGAACGTTCACTGTGAATGAAAACAAGATTAACTGATGTTTTAATTTATAGTCTTTATCTGAAACTTCCACATTGATTCTCATAATTATATATTTACAGATAGCAAATGAAAAAGATGCACTACAACCATCTACAACTACAAATAGGATCATGGTTGGAACTACATTTCTGAATTTTATTTCTGTTTCCGGAACATTGCTGAGACAGATGTTCTGGTGATAACTAACCCTCTGGTGACCAAGAAGGACCAGTTCCAGCCTGAGGAGCAGAGGAATATGAGTCAGAGTCAGATAGTGAAACACAGTTCAGTGGAGCTGCAATAGGATATGAAAACAAGGCCCAAATCAATGAACAGTATGTGAAAGCTGTCTGATTTAAGTTCCGAGAGTGTCTGAAGGCCAGTGAAGGAGCTTGTTTGGAAGAAGAAGCTGACTTATTTTGTTATGAGGAGCAGTTTACAGATGTAGAATCAATTGATGAATCAGATGTAGAATCAGATGATGGATCAGATGTAGAATCAGATGATGGATCAGATGTAGAATCAGATGATCGATCAGATGTAGAATCAGATGATCGATCAGATGTAGAATCAGATGATCAATCAGAGAATGGGAAGATATACTTTCAGGAACGTTCAGGTGAAGCCAGTCTCAGAAATCAAACCGTCATAGGAAGCTGCAGCCTTAGGCAGTGGAACAAATGACTTCTCTCCGTCCAGATCAGTCACTGTAACTCCTACAAAGGAAGAGCTCTTGGTGGTCAGAGGTGCTGATAGTGAGACTGATTTTCAGGATGTATCATTGACAGGACAGGAGGAAACAACGGCTGTCGCTAAAAAACGTCTTCAGTTTTCAGTAATTCAGTAATTTTTTTGTTCTGAAAGAAAACTACTGTTACGTTTGTGTGAAACCACCATCCAAAATGTCTCACCACTTGAAAACCCACATGAATGAGGCTGAAGTTTCAGAAGCACTGTTATTCCCGAAGTACTCAAAAGGACGTAAAAGACTGCTGGGAAAAATTAGAAACAATTGTAACTATTAGCAAAATTCAGATATTTTACAAAAAGGAATGAGCTGCTTGAACTAAAATGAAGACCAAACAGAGCTTGTGATTCAAAACAATTTGTGCACTGCATGTATTGCAAAGATATGCTTGTACATAAAGACCTATGGGGACATGTAAGAAGATGTTCCACAAAGTCAGGTGGACTAAATAAACAGCAAGGAAGAACCAAAGAGTCTACATTCTCACAGCAGATAACCCAGGGGTTTGGAAGCTCTTGAGTGCAATGAAACAGGATGAGACTGTCTCTATAGTACGCAGTGACTTCTGTATTCTTCAACTAGCGCCATCTTTCTTCAACAAACACGGCAATGACCCGACCAAATATGAGTATATTCAACAGAAGCTCCATGAAACTGGAAGGTTTTGATGACTCTGTGCAGCGAGTCTTCTATACACAGCCTGGAAGAAGCTGTAAAACCTGCAAATTTCTCAAAGGTTAATTTAGCTATCAAGAAGGTGTCAGACTATGAAGAGGAAAAGAACTGCTACTAAACGCCAAGCCTAGCACTGAAATTGGGTCACACTTTGCAGAAGGTTTGTGAGATCATTCACTGTAGGGCTCTTATGGCTGAAGATGAAGAGTTAATCAAGTCAACTGAGACGTTCAAAAAGCTGTAAACCACCAAATGGTCAGAGCTGATCTCATATACAGCTTTAAACACACTGAATGAAGCAAAGCTCAACAAGCCATCAACACTGCCTTTCATCATGATGTTCAGCTTCTTCACAAACTCCTGGAGACAACAGCAGATGCAGCATCTGAAATCCTGAAAAAGCACCATACCACTAGGCTATGCAGAGCTCGCTAAAACTACACTCACAATAATGATTGTTTTTAACTGAAGACATGCCGGAGAATCTCCAAGATGCATCTTTAAGGAAGAGATAAAACTCTACTGCATGAAGTTGTTGCAGTCGGCCTTTCCGAGTTTGAACAGAAACTCTGCAGCCATTTCAGCAGAGTTGAGATCAAAGGTAAAAGGGGTGAAAGGTCAATGTCCTTCTCACCAGACATGGTAGACACTCTGACTCTTTTAGTTAGTAAAAGAAAGGCGTGTGGGGTTCAGGAGGCCAACTGCTTCTCGTTTGCCAGACCCAGCTGTCAAAGTCATTACAGAGGACAGGACTGTCTGAGGTTCTACACAATGCAGTGTGGTGCTCAAAATCCAGAACATCTCAGATCAGCACAGTTGTGTAAACGTGGCGACTCTCTCACATATTCCTAATCTGAAAAGCAACTAATTTGAAAAAGTTTCAGACTTTTTGGGTCATTCGTGAACACCGTGAGTTTTTTTTTTAGGCTCCAAGAAGAAAAACTCAGCTGGCCATGGAAAAAGGGCGTCTACCTGATCTACAAGGCAAATCATTGATCACACTGAGATTGAAGGTATGTATCTGTGTTTGCACTATGTCAGTACTTATGTTGAAGCAAATATGTTTGGAGGACACATTTAATGCTTTCATGATGAAATTGTGAGATGGAAATTATATATTTATATATTATCAGAGTGGAAACAAAACCTTGTCTCCTTTTTTTCTTTCATGATTTATAAATGTTAGCTGCTCTTTACATTACAAAATTTAATGATGGATTACTTGAAATTAAACACTGTAACATTAACTCACATTAAAAGGTTAAAGTGATTTTTTTGTCCTATAAAGTTACTATTTTGGAAATATGAGGTTTTGATCCAGCAGTGATGTAGTGCATGACTAATGTAAGATGTTGAATAGTCATTGCTGATATAGTTTTGTTTTCTGCTACATTTAAGATAAAATCAACACAACTGATGACGGTGATGGAAATGAACCTGAAAATGAGGCTGTGGATGAAGCCATGAGTCCCAAGACAGATGTTTAACAGCAATAATGTATAATGATTGTTAAATAGTTTGATTCTCTTTCAATCTGAAGATATAATTTTACATATATGATACTGTACATTTCATCCAGTTGCCTCTTGATACTAATATTCAGCTTGGCAGCATTGTTTGAACTCCCTGGACACTTTATTAGGTACCATTATCTGCTCCACTCATCACATAGATGCTCTTTATAGATCTACAACTACTATTATCTGTTTTCCTCTAAAATTTGTTAGCTTCTCTCTACCCCAATCATCAGTGGTCAGGGCCAACAGAATGTGATTTGGTTTGAAGCAAATACATGTAAAATTAAGAAAGGAGAAACACTTTTGACGTGATGGGTCTTATGAAAACAATAAGTTTCCTCTTCTAAGTTAACATGTTTTAAAAGACAGCACTGAAAAATGTTTGTTTATTTCAGCTTCAACTGTTTCTGTTGTCAGTTGGAGCTACTGAGTGTTGGCAGTTAGAGAGTGAGATAGCCAGTCAGCCAATTTGGAAAAAAAGACAGTGTTAATTGCAATTATTTACCTGGAAGTTAATCATCAGCTCAATCATTGTTTGATGATCATGACTGAAATCTCAAACATTTGTAATCACATCTGTGATGGTAAAGCATTTTGCATTTACTTAATACAAACTTAGTCTGTTTTTCTTTGACAGAATGAATGAAAGTATTGCAGCAGAGACTGAA